GTAAAAAGTTAATTCACCAGACTTATTTTCTGAAAGCAAGAAATTTTTTAAATGTACCGTAATGACAAAAAAAAAAAGAAAAAAAAATTCTCACATACTATATACATTAATTCTCGCACCTTATAGAACCCTCTACCAAAATCTTGCATAATAGTCCGTAGAAATTTTAAGGCTCAACGCGCACGAATTACAAGTAAAAAAAGAAAATCGTGGTCAGCATATGAAAAATTAATGATAATCGCTTACTATAAAACAAGACATAGTAAACGCTTAACTGCTGAAGAATTTAAAATTCAAACAAGCCAACTTCGAGACTGGATAAGTAAAAAATCAAAACTCTTGAAAGCTGCACTATACATTCAGAAGTTGTCAATTGGAGCTAGACCAAAATAACCTGAACTCGAAACTGAATTAATTGAATAGTTTCAGGGGCTTTGATCTCAGAATAAAACTGTTAGTCGGTATATGATTCAAGCGAAGGCTTGTGCTCTTTGTGCTACTTCTCACTTCCAAGAAAGGTATCGGAGGATTGGAAATTATAAATTTTCGCAAAAATGGGTAGATGGGTTTATGTCAAGAAATAATTTGGTAAACCGAAGGCGCACTACAACTGCTCAACATCTTCCTGAAACTTACCTGGAAGATCAAAATGAATTTTTATCTCTTGTACTTTTCAAATGCCGTAAATATAATTATCCTTTGTCACTAATTGGTAATATGGACGAAACTGCTGTGGCTTTTAATATGACTTATAATACTACTATTGAAGAAAAAGGCACCAAAACCATTGCAATTGCGTCTACTGGGCATGAAAATTTGAACTTTACTGTTGTTTTAGCCTGCTTGGCTGATGGCATTAAGCTTCCACCTGTAATCATTTTTAAACTAGTTAATGTACTTCGTGAAGAATTTCCTGATAGTGTAGTTGTATATACTAACCCTTCAGGGTGGATGAATGAAAATGAAATGTTATGGTGGATGGAAAATATTTGGACCCGACGAACACAATCTAGAAGCAATCCACATTCTTTGTTGATTTTGGATGCATTCGCTAGTCATAAAACAGATCTTGTCAAACATCGTTTTCATAGAAAATGTACTGATTTGGCTGTAATTCCTCATGGTTTAACATCTCACCTACAACCTCTCGATGTTTCTTTGAACAAGCCATTTAAAGCAAAAGTATAATCAAACTAATATCTATTTTTTTTTTATAAAATATATTTTAATCTTCGAATTTTTGATATCGTAGTTGTATTAATTAAATTTAACAACATTTTAAATAGATCGAAAATCTATAATCAATGGTTTGATGAAGGCATTAAAGAATACACTAAAGTAGGCAAATTGAAGCATCCTTCTTATTCTTTAGTCATGAATTGGGTAAAAGAAACTTGGGAAGCTATCGATGTTAATTTAGTTAGGAAGTCTTTTAAATGTTGTAGAATCTCAAATGAAATGGATGGATCCGAGGATGATCTAATTTTTGATTTTACATGAATTGATAATCAAACTAATCCGGGACAAGGAATTGAAAGCGAAGAAGAATCCGAAAATCGAGATGATGATGATAACGATGAAGGTGAAATTGCAAACGAAAGTGAAGGTGAAGATGCAAATGAAAGTGAAGAT